TTCATACGCTATTCCGCTTGATCTCCTGCGCTTGTCCCGGTTAGATTGGCTTGTACCCTAAGGTCACCCATCGGCTGGACCATTGGGGCAGAGGGAAGCCTCTATTCTCTGGCATTAAGCCGTCGAAGAGGCTAACCCTCAAAAGCCCCCTGGCCTGGAACCCTTCACAAGGGCTCCGTGGGGGTGCCACTTGAGGTGGCACCCCTCCAAGCCGAAGGTGTGCTAGTTGCCTCCTCAAGCATTGAGGAGAGCGACCGCCATCGCCGATCCACCCACCGGAAGTTCTACATAATAATTTCAAATGCACCTTGTTCTAAATAGACTCCATCTGTCTGTTTGTCCTTACTATATCTAGATTCCACTTGCACTCTAGCCCACCAATCTAAGTTTATTTCCCTTTTCTTTAACTCTTCCTGAGATTTTAAATTATTTCCATCATCTAACAATTATGCATATCTAATAACTGTTTGTTTTGAAGTCAAAACTGGTTGAAAAAAAGCTTCCACTGGAATTTTAGTATATATCAGTGGACAATTCTTTTCCCAGGTGTCAATAATGATCTTCTTATCATATGATTTTTAAAATATTTATGTCCAGAAGCTTTCCCATACCATAGAAACGCATCCCATCCCAGTTTTAAGTCATGTCCTTCTAGAGTTAGCAGCCGATGATCTTGAAGTAAAATCCATTCTCTCAACCAAACCAAACTTGCTGCCCTATAGTAATTCTTCCTGCCTGGAACTCCAAATCCAGCATTATCTTTTGCATCCTGTAAGGCTTTCAATTTAATTCTTGGCTTTTTCTGTTGCCATATAAATATTTTCTTAATTGTTACAATTGTACAATAACAGCTGTAATGTACTATAATAAAAAATAAGGGGAATTCTTAAATATAAGTACCCATCATGCCTGTTAGTCATTTGATCAATATTATTGAAATTGTAAATTATGAAGGTATTTCCCTTATTAAGGAATGAAAGAACTTTAGAAATAGTGGTTGCATTATAACCTGAGTTATATGGTAGTTATAACTGTTTCAGAGGTCAACACTTCATGACAAATCACAGGCATGAGAAGCCATTCCACCTCATTGAAAAACAATAATTCCCAGTTTTGTCCACTTTCAAAAACAACAATAGTAGAGAATTTTTGTATTTTTAAACATTTAACTTCTCTTTCAGGGCCCTAAAGGTGATCCAGGATTCTCCCCTGGGCAAGCAAAACGTGGAATAAAGGTAGCTGGTTTGATGATTTAAGAACTGTCTGCAAAAGTGTTTAAAGATTTGCCAGTATTTCTGTTTGTGCTGTTGACTGATTATGTTGCAGTCTTCTCTGAAAGTTTTCAGTGTGAAGAGAGGTTATATAAACAAGGGGATTGTGATTTGAAAGTGTATGGACATTAAATCATATACCTGTACATAAAAATTATGGTCAGATTTGGAGCTGTACACAAAATACTGTTTTACTTGAAGCTTGCTCTAACTGACTGACTGACTGTCTGTCTGTCTGTCTGGCAACCCCAATTCAGTGTTCAAGGGGTTCTGAAAGGTTTAGTGTAAAACATAAACTCTAAGTAGTATCCAGGAGCCAGTGAGGTCTGTGTGTGGGGGGGAACAGTTTTGGCAAATTTTTGCAGGCCACCCCTATTCTCCTGCTGAGGCAGAGGACATCTTGAAGGGTGATTCCTACCATCCAATCAGGGAGGCAGGAACTATTTTTCAACTTCCTGTCTCCAGTCTGTGGGAGTCACCCCCTTCAGGTCCCTCCCCGCCTCAACAGGAAGAGCAACAACGGAATAGGCTTTGCCTCTTCAGTCCTAAAATCTTTAACCTCTTGTCAGTTTGTTCTGTTAATCTTTCTCTCTAATTTCTTAACTTACTGTTTTTTTCCTCTGAGTCTGTTCTCCCCCCCCCCCCCCAATTCTTCTTCATCTCATTCTATCCCTTCCCTCTCCCGATCTCTGGGAGTGAGGCGAAAGGAGGCGGTCAGGGCTTCTCATATACTCTCTCCATCAGGGAGAGAGAGAGAAGAGTAAAATCACCTTTAAAATCGGCGGCGACGGCGGCGACAGAGTCCTCTCAGAGGGGAAGTGGATGCATCTTTAACTTCAGACGCAGAGGAGACTGCTGGGGAGATTTGCAAGGCCCACGAGCAGCATGCTTCTGCGGCTGTGGCTGACCCCTTGCTGCTGGGAAAATAAAGCACTGCCTATTGAAAAGCACCCCCATGCCTTCAGGCAGTTCGGGCCTTTCAGCTCACAACAGCAGCCATTTTGATCTGTCCCAACTACAGGATTTACCTCATGGAGGCAGCCCCTATCTGGGCAGAGCTGCTTCAGAGGATATGAAACCTGGCTATGCTAAACCTCCATGGTAATTGGCTCCATGGGACGGCTCCATGGGACGGCTCTACAAGAAGAACAGGATTTACACTCAGATGGCAGTGGCATCAGGGGGCAGGGGGCCGGTAGAGTAAGACCCCTTGGAGCATTTCAGCTTCCCTCTGAATTTATTTTGGTCATTAGGCAGACCATGAGGGAGGAGATGAAGAAATTTTTTGATAGTGGTGGAATACCCAAGGGATGCAAAAAACACCAAGCGTCAGGGAGATCACAGCCTTACTCCTCCTCCTTTCCCTGCCCACCAAGGTTCAGAAATAGGCTCTGGGAAAGATAGACGTGAGAGGAGAAGTGTAGCCCAGCACTAGTACTGGCCCAATAAAGCAGCCCAAAAAGAAGCCTCTGGTTATAGCAGAAAAAGGGGGAGAACCATGGTGGGCTGAATCTCTGGTTCTTCCTCTGATGAGCCTATTGACAGAGAAGAGGGAGAATTTCTTTCAGACAAACAAAATGAGGAGGACATTGAAATTCCTGAGCAGCCAAATAATTTTTTTAAGTCTGAGGATTACCAGTATCTTCTGTTTAAAGCCCTCATGGTGCTAGAGCTCTCAAGATTATCCAGAAGCCAAGGAAAAGGACATTGCAGACTCTATTCAGAAACCTAGATCTAAGGGAAATGATCCCCCCTCAGAGTACATATCACTGAGAGAGCTTTTCCTTTCCCAGAATTCTTTGAAACGAAATTAAAATCAGAGTGGGCCAAACCTCTGGAAAATAGGGAGTATCTAGGCTTTCTTCAGAAGTTGTATGCATTACCCTTGTTTGTTAATGAGTTTTTGCAGTTTTCACTTATGGACGCTCCAGTTACAGCACTGTAGTCTTCTGGCCTACTATCAGAAGATGGTCAAGGCACTATTCGTGATAGTCTGGACAAAAAGGCAGATTTCGCATTACGCACTGCTTGAGGCCATGGCTATGGTGATAAAGCATCTATAACTGCATCCATAGTATCCAGAGCAGCTGTTGTCTGAGCATGGAAGATGCTCCAACTGCTACCAAAGTCTAATAGATGACTCAGGGAAGGATCTATAAGAATGCTCAAGGCAGCCTCCTTTGTGGCAGACATGATGGTAGAGTCACATATTTTCATCTAGGGCAAAGTCTTCAGCCGCAGCTGCAAGAAGGACCCTTTGGCACAGGAGCTATCTCTGTTTCTGCATCGGGGAAGACCACTTCCAATTCAAGGCCCTCCTGTTCAGGCTCTCAAAGGCTCCTAGAGTCTTCTCCAAACTTCTAATCAATCTGATTATCAAGTTAAGAGAACAGGGGATTCTTATTCACCCTTATCCAGACGACTTATTGATCAGGCAGCTCCAGAGCCAAGTAATTAGCAGTCACAGAAATACCATTCAATGTGTACGAAGTCATGGCTTCATTGTAAACCTGCAGAAGAGCTCACTGCACCTAGTACAATGATTAGAGCCCCTGGGTGTCATCATAGATACAACAGTCAATTGCTTATTTCTCCTGGTACACAAAGCACAGCAAATCAGAGATGTCAACGTCCGTGATCACGGACAGATCTACTTATCTTATGACCCTGACCAAACTCTTGGGTCTGCTGATATCATGCATAGATTCAGTTCAGTAGGGATAGCTGCACACAAGGCAATTACAACAACCATTAAGGACCTTCCAATTCCAGATCATGAGTACTGTTTGAGTACTACGCAAGGTAAAGTTCAGCCTGTTATGGCGGATAAAGATGTCCAACTTACTTCAAGGCAGGGCTCTACTGGTAGCAGGAGCTCCTTTGCATATTAGGCCACACACCCCTAGTGTAGCCAATCCTCCAAGAGCTTACAGAGCTCTTCTTACTGGGGTTACTGTAAGCTCTTGGAGGATTGGCTACACTAGGGGTGTGTGGCAAAGGAGCTCCTGCTACCAGTAGAGCCCTGCTTCAAGGCAAGGCTTATTGGATGTCGGCAATAAAACAGATATTTGCAGATGCCAGCTTATCAGGATGAAGAGTGATGCTGGACAACAAACCAGTCTAAAGTCTGTGGTCCAAATCTGAAATGAAATTGAATATCAGTATTCTAGAGCTGAGGGGCATAGATCTGGCATTAAGGCACTTCCAACTGCAGATAGCCCATATACACTTCTTAATGAGGACAGACAACATATCAGCAAAAATATACATAGACGGGGGGGATTGAGACAATAAAGGTAATTTCCTTGGCAGAGAAAAATCTGACGTCAATTCGAGCAGAGCATGAACAACCAAGCAGACTGGCTCAGCAGGCAAATGATTTAAGAAGGAGGATGGTCCCTCAAGATGGAGCTATTTCTACTGATCACCAGGCATTTTGGCCTCCCATAAATAGATCTCTTTGTGTCCCCAATAAATTACCAATTCAACAGATTTTACACAAGGCTCCTCTACCCCAGGGCAGAGGCAACGGATGCTCTCACCTCTGTGTGGTCAAAGACCCTGTTATTCACCTTTCCACCTATTCCAATTATGCCCAAGGTACTGAGGAAGATCAAGGAACAACAAGCAGACATCATTTTAGTGGCTCCATTCTGGCCATGCAGGCTATAGAGCCTCCGTGGAGGTTACCAGTGTCACCAGACATGCTACATCAGGGTCGCATCTGGCATCCACAACCAGATTAGCTGCACATGACTGCCTGGAGGTTGATGCCTAGAGGTCCCTCTGCCTAGAGTATGATGCTGACATCACAGAAACTCTTTTGGCCTCCAGCAGTGAAACAACAAACAGAATTTATAATACATCCTGAACAGATCACAGCCTTGGCCACGTACTGCCCCATGTAAAAGGCACCGATCATGGGTTCACAGGTTTCCCACATGGAGGCTACATATGGTTCTTTCAGTACTGACCAAGCCACCATTTGAGCTAATCAAGGAAGTCTCATTGAAGTGGCTGAGGATGAAGACCCTCTTTCTTACAGCCATCACATCCTTCAGAAGGGTCTATGAACTATACTCGTCCACAAAGACAGACCCAACCTTTATTCCAAAGGTCAATTCTGCCTTTCACAGAGCTCAAGAAATATTTCTCACATCCTTCTGCCCAAATCCAAAGCAGAGGGAGAAGGCATGGCATACTCTTGATGCAAGTGGATGAGTGGGGAATCAAACCCGGCTCTCCCAGACTAGAGTCTGCACACTTAACCACTACACCAAACTAGCTCTCTGTATTACTAGATAAAGCTACTGGATTTGATCCTATATGTATTTCAACTTGTGTGAATGGCACTTCCACTTGTGTAAGATTTCTGTTTCTTTATCTCTCCCACTGCAGGCTCCTTGCAGAACCCCCACACTATACTTTAAGGGTCCATAAAGGTTAAGGAGCAGGATTTTATGGGACACAGTATTCTATAGTGGGAAGGGGGCAATAGGAGTATTCCTTTTCACAAACCCTATTGTGCTTATGGTGCATAGAATCCAACTAACTATGTACATATACACAATAATATTGAGGCTGTTACTGCTTCCTGGTAAATATCATGAGGAAAAACTGCTGTTTTGGTGGGGAGGGGTCTCTTTTGAAGTAATCTGCATTTACATGGTGTGTCTGGAGTTATTTTTCTATGAATGCAGACAGCTTAGAGTACACCTGTATTATGCATGCAGTACAATGTGGTGTAAGATTGCGTGGGTTGAACTGGTTGGTGTGGTGTGAAGAGTGGGGGAAACAACAGTGGCTGTTTTCTAGAAAGGTAGCTAAGTGGTATTCTAAATAAATAGTTGCCATGTCTTTGAATAGGGAGCTGGAATAAATGCTGTGTATTATATAAATTCTGTGCTTTTTCCCCAGTTTAGCTTTCTTCCTGGGAACAGTGTTAAACATTTAAAAATACCTAGAATAATATTTGTGATATATTGGAATTTCCGGACATTGCCCAATAAGCAAAATAGTTATTGAAATTTGGGAAGATGGTGAATATGATAAGATAGCAATATTGCTACATAATAAGACTACTCAGTACCATTTAGGGACACATTGGCAATCAATGTGTTATCTGGAAAAGGAGCTGTCTGAGAAGTGAACTTGCAAAATATGGTGTATTTATATATATCTCTGATCATGTATTCACTAATTATTATGTTACCTATTTATATTAATTTATGAAACTGCTGTATGCAGTGTAATTTTTGTTAGTTAATAATATAGTTTCAAAACATGAAAAATATATACCTTTTTAATTTTTGCAATATTGTGACTAACTACAGTGATGAGTGCCTACTGATTTTACAGGGTGATACTGGACCAGTAGGTTTGCCAGGACTTGTAGGCATGAAAGGTGAAAAGGTAAGAATCTGTTTTTGTTATATTTAACTTTTAAGGCCATTATGGACATCCATAAAAATAGGCACAGCAGTTTGAGGCTTATATGAAAACAGATATTCAGTGTGTTTCTCTGTCATCTTCAATCAGGGGCTGAAGTAGGGATTGCTGAAAGTCATGTGCAAGATTGCTGTAAAGTGAATAGAGCTGTGGATCAGAACAGAAATATCAGTGTCAGCTGTGGCTATCAAAGCTGAATTATGCCCTGTAATTTTTTGAAGTCTTAAAAATAATTGACTGAAACCCAATTTGTCTGTGTGCCAAATATCTGAATATTCCAGCCTAGAGGGCCTTCCTTTGAGAACCATGAGATTGTGAGAATTTGGCTAGTGAAATGTTGGTTTATAGCTCCAGTGCACATCTTATCACCTTTTACTTATTATAGTCCTCTCACAACAACCTTAAAATGTAGACTAGGCTGAAATATAGTGGTTCCCTAAGGCCACTTGCTTCCAGTATGAATAGAAAGTTGGAGAGACCCACATTCAAATCTTCACTCAGCCATGGAATCCATTGGATGACTTTGGGCCAGTCTTTTTCCATCAGCTTAAGCTAATGCATAGTGTTGCTGTGAGTATAAAATGGAGCTCCAAAGTAGGTAGATAACACTGATGTTCGTGGCTGAGTGGGCCAGTTTCCCCTTGTTCTAGTCTGATATCCTATTACACCATATTGGCAGTTCTTTAGTACTGGGATTACTTTGCAATAATCACACTAGAACTCTTCTTGTTCTTGGCATATCCATCAAACTGGCTGATACCCCCTTCAGTATTTTGAATGAGAGGCTTTAACTGGTGCTTCTGTTGCTAGTTTTTTTGCACAATTGCCATGCTCCCTGTACTAATCTTGCTAACACATTTATAGTGCACTCCTATGCCCTACACCTTTCTCAGCCCATTGGCATAGAATCACAGTTAGAAGGTACCTCCAGGGTCATCTAGTCCAACCCCCTGCACAATGCAGGAATTTCACAACTACCTCCCCCCACTCCCTGTGACCCTGCTCCATGCCCAGAAGATGGCAACACCCCCACCCCACCCCAGGATTCCTGGCCAAACTGGCCTGGAGAAAATTGCTTCCTAAACCCAAAGTGGCAATCAGCATTTCCCTGGATGTATAAGAAAGGGCCATGAGAACTAAGCACTTATGCAAACTTTCCTGCTCTCCCTCTCATGATCTGCCTAAGTTCACAGAATTAGCATTGATGACTTTAATGGCTGTATCTCTGCTTAGGATGGCACTTTTAGACTGGCTGTATGGAGGTCTGTGTGAGGGGTAAGCAAACATCAAGTTTGAAGAATATATTTTTTTTGGGGGGGGGGGGTTGCAAGGGCTCTGGGATTCATCAGCTGGAGCCATTTGCAGATCTCCCCCATGAATGAAGCTCAGTCACAATTACCTGCTGCTCCACATGAGATCTACCTGTAAAAGTTCACTTCTGAGTTATTTCAGATCAGGGATTCCAGTATCAGACTTTTAAAATGCTACATATGGTCTTGGTCACCAGCAGCCAATTATAGTACCGTTTTGTAAGTGAGGTACATTGAGATCAATAGATAACTGATAATTCCTTATTAAAATTCTTAACAGCAATTTGTATCAGCATTCTTTTTGATGACTTTATACTCAAGAAGAGAGTCTGCAGTGAGAGCCTACTAGACTGGTTGATATTGCCTTCATGAGGGATAGAACTTCCAAGGAAAGTGGGAGGGGAGAGAGATAACTAGGCTAAACTTGAGAGCAACTTTTAAGTCAAGGGTCACAATGAGGACTCCCTGTGGCTTTTAGAAGATCCATTGTGATTTACTCTGGGAACTACCTGTGGATCACGATCTACTTTCTGCCCATTCCAGGGTTTACACAATACTTTGAGGATTGTCACGATTCAGGTGAAGGACATTACACGTTCTTTTCCATGGATTTCTGGATGGGGATGCATCTAGAGTTTGCAAGGCAGCCTGCACAAGTATTGGCTGTATATCCTGTAGTAGTCTGTTTAATGTTTAATGTTTTATTTGGAGGTGATCTTTGTTGATCCCTTTGTTGACTTGTCAAGTGTTGCTCAGGCCTTAGCTTGTATGGAGCATCTCTCTTAATTTTTTTGGTTTATTTGTATAAACTCTTCTACACTCTGGCCAGGGTCTGCTCCCTTCCCGGCCTTCCCTGGGACTTCTCTATGCTCCCGGCAGGCACTGGCTGCTTAGGCTGCCATTCGCTTGTTGCCAGTGGATAAGCATGTACACCATTGTTCCAATTCAAGGAAGTATGACTTCTGGTGGAATTGAAAGTTCTCATCGGCTGCGGTCACACGGAACAGAAGCCACACAAGTGAGACGGAAAACAGGCGGAGTTTCCGGGCGCGATCTCACCAGCACATCTGGGAAGCGTAGCACTCTCGTGGCTCAACCGAGGCTTCCAGCCGAAACTGCGTGGCAAAAAAACTAGTACCTTGGAGGTACTAGTTTCCAGAAACTGTGGGGCAAGGGCGGGCGTCTGATCGCGTTTCCGGTGGCATCCGGCGCCCGCCCATGTCCCCTTGCACATAAGGTGGGGTTTTTTTGTCCAAGTCTCTGTGGATGCGCACACGCACCCAACGGAGCATGCGCATTTGTCATGTACACACAAAAACAAAACAGTTTGCCGCGGCGTGTGCTTCTTCGTTGCGCGCCGGCTTGTCCTGTGATCAGCACCTCTCCCTTGCCATGGAACCTCCACGGTACCTCCACAGGACCTCCACGGGAGGTCTGATCGCTTAACTGCGCAGTAGTTTGCCCCAGGGCAAACAGCCACGCTTCTCCCCCGCAGTTTCCTGCCCGTGTGACCGGGGCCATCGTTTCTCAATATTCCATCACTTTAGTTGTCTGACTAGAATAAATCCAGAGTAGTGCAGTCACAAATGTGATTGCTGTGGAACCATTTGCACAAGGCCATCCTGTATCTTCTGGTTTTAAAAGTGGACGTTAAATCCATTTCCTGCCACAGAAGATTGGTAGGATTGGAAGTTGCAAACACATTCTAAATATATATTCCATATACAGGAAAACCATGCCAAATCCTAACATTCTTATTACTAATTACAGATGGAAACTTTTTATGTGAACTGCTGAAATGTTTGTAAATAAATTCTGGAGTTCATTGTACAGTTTCCATTTAAGTGATGCAAGAAAACACAACAAAACCCCCAAATGATCCATAAACACTCTGCTTGTTACATTGTGTTTAATTTTGGCAAGCCAATCTGATTTATATTTTTGCTGCTAATTGACCTAATTTATGATGATTATAGCAGTGGTAAAAAGGAAATTATTTATAAAGCAATTAGTTTATTTTCATGGCTTTGCGCATACTCATTTGTTCTCATTCCTAGCACATATTTGATTCCTCACTGAGCAGAATAATTCTTTGACGAATTTAAGAAATAAGCCTTAAATATTGGTGTCATGATCTGGCCTGTGCCAGTACGGCCTAGCCAGCCTAAGAGGCCTGGGTGGCAGTAGGAGGCGGCTAGGCCTACAACTCCCAGAAGGCATTGGGAGAGTCAGAGAAGATTCTAAAGAGACGTTAGAGTCTGTTAGGGAATGAAGTCTGGGAGAGACAGTTAAGGCAGTTGCTGGCTGATAGTTGCTGGAGACTCTCTGAGGGAAAAGGGGAGAAGCCCCGTCCTTTGCCTCCCTGCGGCTGGGTCCAGTGAGGGACAGGCCGGGCTGGGAGAAGGGGAAAATCCTGAGTGAGTTAGGCAGGCTAGGGCCTGGTAGTCGAACCAAAGTAAGGCATCTGTGTTAAGTTTACTTTCTTTTGGTTTTTCCTACCTGTTACCCGGTTGAAGCACCTTGCCCCAATCGTTCTCATAATAAACCCTGTTCTGCTTAATGTATTTTGGTGTCTGCCTGGGTCATTCACGTCCATATTGCTCGGTCAGCAAGGGCTTGGGAGATACCCTGGGACTCCCAAGGGACCCGAAAGTCCAGGGTGGTGGCGGCGAAAACCAAAGACCCCTCTGGGGTCATGACAATTGGCTAACCATATGCATGAAGAATGCATAGTTGCAGCTGAATTTAAACGGTGATGGTACCATAGTAACACAAATGACATAGCATATAATCCTGTTGCTCACAGTTGATATCTCTGTACGATCAGGGGCATGAGGAGAATTTATTATATGGCAAAAAGGAAGGCAGAGATTACTTTAGTCCAAACTTTAGCTGGAATACAAAGAACCACAAGGTTACTTCCACATGTTTGTTGGGACGATTTGGACTTCTCCCTCCAAATCAGTTCCCACCATACTTGAGGAGGCACTGATAAAGGAAGACACCCCCCCATTAGAAGGGGAGCACAGCCAGTACAACTGGAAACAGCTTGAGAAGAAAGGGGTGGCCCTGATACAAACTGAGCACCTGTCTTCCACAGCTACATTTCCATGTTAAATACTGAGTGAGCTAATCATGGGTATTCTATAGAATGCATGATTTGACCCTGTGTAATTCTGCTTATGATAGATGTTGGATCTGGGGTAAAGAAAAAATATATGGCTGGTTTAACTTGAAGACTCCTTTAAGTAAATACAAAAAGGCCTATAGAGCATTGAACCTATTTGAAAAGAACAAGCATGCTGCTTGCCTGGCAGAACAAGACTAATATATTGGAACAAATATTTGTTCAGTTCAACAAGAAAGTAAATAGGTGATTAGTCAAGAACTTGAAATATTAAAGAAACAGGCTTAATATGCCAAATGTTGCACATTGGGGGAAAATAATGTAGTTTGCTATAGTTTATAAATTAAATAATACTTGCAGATTTTTAAAAAACTTTTCTGGTTTTGGTAGGCAAGGAGTTGATATCTCACTCCTGATCACCAGTTAGCCAATTCAGCCCCTCCTTTGGCTTTTGAAATATTATCTGGCACTGTCTTCATACTTAGAAGCACATTGTTTCAACCAACAAAGCTTGAAGTTAGGTGACAGAATTAGTACTGCAAAGGCCTATTTCCATGACAACATTAGGACTCCCCTCAGGACCATGGCTTAGCTGGAGAGCATCAGTTCTCTTGTTCAATTCTTGGCATCTGTATTTAAAGATCTTGGGTACCAGATGCTGGGAAATTTTTTTCTGTGCCTAGAATGTTACGGCAAGTCAAAGTAGGCAATATTGAGCTAGATAGATTGATAGGCCGATTTAGTAAAAAGAGCTTCATATATTGACATTCAAGTTGACCTTTTTATCTATATAAGTAAAAGAGCGATGCACTGTCATTTGTAGCTGGCTACCTTTGTGTATCCTGCTCATTTCCTGTGTATAAGCACATGTATTTGTACGTCAAGAGAGAAATAATCACCAATATTTTTCTGCTGGACACTTAGAAAATCTAGAAAATAGAAATAAAGTACCAAGGACTTTCTGCTTACTTTTGCAGCTGCCACTGCATTTTTTGTGCTCCTATATATGGAAATAGAGGAATACCAGTGAGAGGAACAGGTGAATGAACCATGGCTTAAGGAATTTATTGCTTTGTAACTCTTGTCAAAAAATAAAGAATCTGTTTATGCTCAGAGCTGGACAGTGAACCACAACAAAGAACACACGGTGCATAGACACACCTTCCCTTCAAATGACCAGCTGCTTTATTTATTCATCCATTTAAGAAACAGGCCTGAATCCTACAAGATCCATGAGTTGATCAGAGCTCACTGATGAGCCTTTGCCTCTCCTTCCCATTGAGCCTGCTGAAATTCACTTCTTTGGGGGTCAGAGTACCATCACAAAGAGCACAGAAATTGTACCCTCTTCGCCTGCCAGAAAAGCATTTCAGCATTGGAAAAGACTATAGTTACATGATTTTGTGCCATCATTTTCCATTGTCATTAAAATGATAAATACTCCTACTGCTACTACTACTGGTAGTGATACATTTGTCAAATAGTAATCTTGTGCTAAGATTAAGCCTTCAGAACTAACATTATTTTCCAAGATCTGAAAGCAAAATTGCAACATCTTTACAAGTTGAATTGTCATTCTTAAACATAGGTATTCTTAAGCAGTAATGACACTCTGTAATGGCCCACAGACTGGAAGTGCTCAGTCTACATTCCAGTTCCAAAACAGGTGACACCAAAGATTGCAGCAACTATTGGACCATCATGTTCATTGAACATGCTAGCAAAGTGGTGCTCAAAACTTTACAATGAGGACTCTTACTATATGTGGAATAAGAAATACCAGATGTTCAAACTGGGTTCAGATGAGTGGCACTAGACATCATATTGCAATTTGGTTACTGGAGCATACCAGAGAATTTCAGAAAAAAATCAGTTTGTGTTTTATAGATTGACTGTGTGGATCATGAAAGGCTACATTTGGATTTAAAAGAAATGGGTATGCCACAACATCTCCTTCTTTTGATGTGGAATGGGTGCTCTGGACAAGAGGCTATTGTTAGGACAGAATATGGCGAAACAGAATGGTTTCCAATTAGCAAAGGTGTCAGACTAGGATGAATATTATTTTCCATCTGTTCAGTCTGTATGCAAAGCATATCATAATGAAAGCTGGGTTGTATCTGTGTGAAGTGCCATCAAGTTGTTTCCAACATATGGCAACCCTATGAATTAATGACCTCCAAAACATCCTATTTTAGCTTTGCTCAAGTCTAGCAAATGGAGGACCATGGCTTCCTTGATTGAGTCAATCCATCTGTTGTTTGGTCTTCCTCTTTGTCTGCTGCCTTCAACATTTCCTAGCATTATTGTCTTTGAGTCTTGTCTTCTCATAATGTGATGAAAGTACAATAGACTCTTTTTAGTCATTTTAGCTTCTAGGGAAAGTTAAGGTTTGATTTGATCTAGAACCCACTTATTTGCCTTTTTGGCAGTCCACGGAAGGAACATTAACAATTTGAGATATACAGATGACACGTTATACAGATGACACATTAGTGGCAAAAAATAGTGAAGAGTTGAAATTACTACCAGTGAAGGTTAAAGGAGAATGTGCCAAAGAGCGATTACAGTTGAACATTAAGAAGACAAAAATAATGGCTACAGAGGAATTACAGAGTTTTAAGGTTGATAATGAAGAAATTGAAATAAAGATTTTGTATTACTTGACTCAATCATCAACCAAAAAGGAAACTGCAACCAAAAAATCAGAAGGAGACTGAGGCTTGGAAAGGCAGCCTAGAAGGAACTGGAAAAGATCCTTCTGTGTAAGATTGTGTCTCTGGAGACCAGGATCAAGATAATTCATACTACGGTATTCCCCCATTACTGTGTATGGGCATGAAAATTGAACATTGAAGAAAGCTGACAAGAAGACAATGGATTCCTTTGATATGTGGTGTTGGAGGAAAGTTTTACAGATACCATAAACCAGGGCTTTTTTTTGTAGAAAAAGCCCAGCAGGAACTCATTAGCATAATAGGCCACACCCAATAGCAGAAACTCATTAGCATATTAGGCCACACCCCTGACATCATAGCGCATTAGCATATTAGGTCACACCCCATGCCTTCCCTTGGCTTGAAGGGAAGGGAAGGCAGCTTAAACTGCCTTCCCTTGGCTTGCCTGGGCACCCTGCGGCTGCAAGGAGCCTGAGCAAGCCAGCCCTTGGATAGGCCAGGGAAGGCATAGGGAGGCATTTAAATCCTTCCAGGGCCCCCTGTGGCCCACCCACCTCAGAGTCACCGGGGGGTGTCGCTCTTTAGGCCTTCCCTCTGTAGCCACGCACGCAAAGGTTTTGGCTGCATTGGGTGTGACCAACTCTGAAGCCAGCCGGAACTCCGTTCCTGTGCGTTCCTGCCCAAAAATAGCCCTGCCATAAACCCACCAACAAGACAAATAAGTGGATTCTAGCTCAAATCAAGCCTGAATTTTCTCTAGAAGCTAAAATCTTCAAAGCCTTATATGGCCTTGGACTAACATACCTAAGGGACCACCTCTTTCCCATAAATGCCTCAAAGAGCTTTATGCTCTAATAATCAACACCTCCTGGTGGTCCCTGGCCCAAAGGATGTCTGTCTAGCCTCGACCAGGGCCAGGGCTTTCTCTGCCCTGGCTCCCACCTGGTGGAACATGCTCTCCATCGAGATCAGGGTCCTGCGGGATCTTACTCAGTTCCACAGAGCCTGGAAGACGGAGCTGTTCTGCCAGGCTTTTGGTTGAGGCAGTGGGTATCCACATATGGCCTCCCTCAGGTTGCTGTCTCCCACCTGCCGGCCATCCAACCATCAGCAATCGGCCATATCCATCTGTATTAATGGGCTGGAACTTCCACCAGCAGCTATAACCACTGTTTTTTAATGTTTATACTGTACTTTTAAACTTTATTGTGATTGTTGAAAGATGATGTGACCCACCCTGAGCCCGCTCGTGGGATGGGCAGGATACAAATACGATAGATAGATAGATAGATAGATAGATAGATAGATAGATGATAGATAGATAGATAGATAGATAGATAGATAGATAGATAGATAGATAGATAGATAGATGTCTCCAAAAGCAGCAGGGAGCAGAAAGCATGAACCGAACCATGAACCGAACCATGAACCAATATGAACCAAGAGGTTAGTTCACAAACTGAAGCAGTTCGTATCAGTTTGTGAACCAACCTCTTGGTTCATATTGGTTCATGGTTCGGTTCATGGTTCAGCCATGAACCAAAACAAACCGCAAAAAATGTGGTTCGTGCCCATCCCTATTCATACTCCACAACTGCTAAGGCATGTAGATGTAACAGTGTCACAAGGAAATGGTAATGTTCTACTTGCTGAAGGAAAGAAAAGAACAATATTATGTCTGATTTTTGTGTGTATATGCATTGGTTTGGATATTCATTGCAATGTTTGTTACTCTTTTATACCTGCAGGGTCCTATTGGATATCCAGGAGCAAGAGGACCACAAGGGGATCAAGTAAGTGATCCAAGATCTCTCATGAAATATATGTCTCAGCCTAACCTGCTTTGAACAATTGTTGTGAAGTTTAAGCAAGGGAAGGGAACCCCATATTCATCACTATGAGATTTGTGGAGGAGGGTGAGATTTAAAAAGTGGTAAGTATGTTGTTATTTTTAAAACTTCACTTGGTCATTCTTTCTAGATTTGACCTATAGCTCATTGTGTCTATTCCATGACAAAATCAAACTGGTGGCTCTGAAGTACTGACAAAAAACATGGCTAAGTGCTGATACATTTCTCTGCCCTCTTCTTTTGTGTCTCTGGTGCTATTTGCCAAAACAGAAGAATTAATATTTGTGGGGACTACAACATTTTGAACCAGGTCACAGTCTGGAGCGCTTACCTATTATCTGTAATGCTATCAAAATGCTGAACTGGATGCCTTCAGCTCAGTCTTTGCCATGAAATCCTGTAACCCAGGGCATATGCATGTCAATAGTGAGTGGTAGACAGCTTACATGCCTGCTGTGGCCATATCGCATCATACCACATGCTGAGGGAGGAGGAGATAAAGGAGAAGATCTAAGAGAAGAAGTAGCTGAACTGCAGTTATGCAAGAAAGTTAAATTATGTGCTTGGTGGTCATCAGGGAGCAGGACAGTGTTGCTAGTATTTACTTACTCAGGTGGTAGTTAAAAGGCAGAAGCTGGAAGAACCAGGGAGAAGAGGGAAGGAAGGGCCAGTTTGCTAGCACTGGCACAAGTTCTGGAAGAAGGGCAACCTGCAAGGCCTGGAGATTCCACATCCACAGGGGATCTAACCTTCCTAGGGCCAGGGGCAAAGGCATTCCTTTCCAGGAGTAAAAGAGAACAGGAGGCTTCTGCTTTCTTTGGAAACTGAAACCAAACAGTGCATCTCTTTCCCAAAGTAAAGAGCCAGTCCTAGCTTTGCTTCACTTTATTGGTACAAGAGTTGCTTCAGAAGAGTCCAAGGGGACATCACCTTCGCACCTGCAGCAAATGCCTATTCCGAAGCAGCAGCCCCTGCCATAGGAGAATGCTTGGCTTGGAACCTCCTAGAATTTTGCATAATCTCCCAACGTTTTGGACTGGCGCTGCCTACATGGTAGCTATTTTGTGATTGATCCTTTGTCTTAGCAACCATTTGAAGGTGCCCTCTTTTCTCAAAATTCCAAAAGTGCTCATAGGCTCTTCATTTACAAACTGTCATAATTGTATTCATATGTATTTTTTAAAAAATCATATAGATGACAGCCTAAATGTTTTGGAAATGTAAATTGTGGTTGCATGCCAACTGGAATGAAGATTGCTTTTAGGCTCCCTCCAACATTCACTAGCCAGCACCACCGGGATTTTTGACTGTTAAAAACAGCATTGAGCAGCTAAAACGTTTACACGTGGATTATTCATAAAGAGACACATTAAGAAAATTTGCTGTAGATTATGAATTGAAGCATTCATACATTGTTTCAGTATATTTAACAAAAAATGTGACCAAATTTGATGTCAGCCAATGGAATATGCATTATAAATCCTTGCCTGCTGGGGGAATCTTCCATTTTGTGCTTTTCCCCAAACATGCTTTTAAAATTTGCCTTCATCTATCAGTCTGTATCAGATATTTCACTGTGTTCTAAAATAGCCATTTCTTCCTATTGAGCTATGTATTCCACTGTTTAGGTGAATAATCATGTTGATGCATGAGATTTATGTTTTATGTAAGTTACATGAAAAGCAGTCTTGGAGTGCTTTCCTAGAAGTATAAAATGCGCTAATTCTTCTTTCCCTTTCAATTTAGGGAATTCCAGGAATGGCAGGCAACCCTGGGGCTCCTGGTTACCCTGGCAGGCAGGTGCAGTAACTATGCTTCAGACCTAAACTATCAGATTTCCTTTTTGCTTTCAACACTGATTGTCAGAAATACATTTTATTTACAAATAAATACAACCCTAGAATGTTGTGTGTGTGTATTGAGATTATATTGCTGCACTCTGTTTAACCTGGTTAGTTTTTGTGCTTAGTATATTCACTGGAGAAGTTAAGAGAATTTCCTTTTTATCTTAATATTCCCCCCCCAGAGGATCAGAATTAACTGTTTGCCGAACAGTTAATGTGTATATATGTCATTCTACCTGCAACAATTACTAAAGTGCAGATTTAAAAAATCTTCACATTGAAGTCATGTATAGATAGAGCGCATTTTTTTCTACAAACCTGGAGTAAACTCTAGGTTTGCAACAACAAAAAAAGTTGAAAAAGTTTTTTTAAAAAAATAAGATTTTTTTTAAATCCCTTCCAAATGAGTGAAAAATGGGATCTCATAATGCTAAACAAATGGTGGAGGGGAAAATGGTGACAAGAAGAAAGTAGAAGGGGGAGAAGAGGAGATGGAGTCAAGAAAGCAGTGGTGAGAGCACAGTAGGAGGAAGGCAGCTATGACCACTGACACTGCAATTGAAGGAAAAGTTAGGGGGGGAGGAGAAAGCAAGAAGAAGAAGAGATTGGATTTATACCCTGCCCTTCACTACCCAAAGGAGTCTCAGAGTGTCTTACAATCCCTTTCCCTTCCCCTCCCCACAACAGACACCCTGTGAGGTAGGTGGGGCTGAGAGAGCTCTTTTTTGAGAACTGCTTTTTCCAGAACAGCTCTGAGGGGAACTGTGAGTGACCCAAGGTCACACCAGCAGCTGCATATGGAGGCGTGGGGAATCAAACCCGGTTCACCCAGGTTAGAGTCCATGCTCCTAACCATTACACCAAACTGGCTCTCAGAAGGAGGATGTGGCAAAAAGGGCAAGGGAGAAAGGTGTGGCAGACAGGAAAACTTGGCAAGATGGCAAAATGTGGAAGCAGGAAGGAAAAAGAGGTGGCTAGAGGGTAGGGAAGGAATGAGATGGTAGAAGGAGGTGGTGGTGGATGGAGAAAGGTAAGAGGTACTGTAACAGATATAATTAGAAACTTTGTGTCTTTTTTTGATTGTTTGTTTGTTTGATGTGTTTGTTGTAAAAATAAAAAATGTCATATATAAAAAAGAGAATGGTGAAGAGAAATGTACCAGCAAAGAAAAAGGAGGAGGACATGAAAGGACAAGTGGGAAAGGGAGTGGCTGGGGTGGGGAAGGAAGCTGGAGGAGGAACGTGATGACCAATGGAGGAATTCCCCTTTAAGGTTTCTTGTGGGTGTTGCGTGTGGTTTCTACTATCAAACAAACAAACAAAAAACCTGTAGTGCTTTGTCATTAGTTCACTTTTGATGGTTCGTGATGGGGAAATTGTATGCTGAAGAAATGTGGATCTTTGTGTATTTCATAAAGGACATAGAAAGAGTCTCATGCAGTAATTCTGATTTTGGGAACGTTAAGGAAAAGTACTGATATAAATTACTGTTTGAGCTCTTTCTAAGCTGGTCTACTTTGTTTTACTTTATCATCCATCCATTTTTCCAGTTCTGTCCATGCCAGTCTTAAATTTCTGTGCATAAATTAGCATGTTTAAATAGGTAATAGCTATTGTTACTTTTCCCTCATGGGAACAATGCATGCTGATATTTTCTGAGATTATTTTCTTACTCTCCTTTTGACTTGTTTAGAGTTGCTTCATGTGTTTCTTTTCAGGTTTCTTGTTTGTTTGTTTCTGAGACACCTGCCTTTCATCAGTAAACCCAGAAATCAAATGCAAAAGTCAGCAGAATTTCATAAGAGATCAAACCTACTTCTTACCCTCTTTTCCCAGCATGGCTCTTTCATCCTGTAAAAGGGACAATTATCTGATAAGCATCTCTGGAGTACTGGAAGGTTTTCACTGATTTCCAATCTCCTAACAAGCATTTTGATGGAAATAAACTATTTGTATTATTTCAAGAACTTGAAACTGAGATCATGGAATACTTACACAGCAATCCTGGGGGTGGGGGATGAGAACAGGGAGCCGACTGACCCCAAAGCCAGCGTAAATTGGAGATATGCCAGTGTAAGGCAGACTTACACCATCGCCGGCCACGAGTGCTGCAGTGCCGCACAATCACGCTGGTGCAGCCTATTGGCACCAGTGGAAACTCCCTGGCCACTCCTCGGCAAACATCCACAGCCACATCCCTTAGAGGCCAAGCAGCTCAGGATCTTGACCAACAGTGCACCCAATCTCTGCAGCACCCACATGTGGGCCCTGTCCCCTCCCTGCCCCTGACAGCCTGCCCCACCCTACAAATAGCCCCGTGACAGAATGCCACCACTTCACAGGATGATGCTGGGCAGCTCCCTGCTATATGGAATTAGAGTGAGCATGCACCTAGCTCGGTGATGGACAACAGAGGTGCAGGGCACCTAGCACTCTTGAGTGAGCACCTGGGGTTAGGAGAGCAGTGGGAGAGCAAAGTCCACACTCTGTGGCTGATCCCTCCCCAATTTCAGACCATACAGGATCCGGAGCTTGTCTGCCGGGATCCCGAGGGGTGGCAATGCACCAACAGGTAAGCGGTGACCGCTGACTCCAGCCGCACCCCATGGGCCAGAACAGTAGCATGGTTGGGGGTGGGATGGTGCAGCAGCCTCTGGGGACCCTGGCAGCTTGGTGCTGGGGGGCACTTCCCCGGGCATATGTGGAGCCAGCGAACCACTGCATGTTCCTTGTGGACCATGAGTGTGGGTGGGTCGCCCTCATCATAAGGCTGTGGGCAGAGTGCCTCCACCTGATGGTGATTCCCTTCCCTTGCGGGTGCAGCAAGTCCCATAACATCCGAGCAAGGGCGTTTCCCAAGACACAGAGGTGAGGAGAGTATGTCAGGGTGGCTGTGGCTGCCGTTGATTCCTGTGCCATCCGGATCCAGGAAGACTGCAAGGTGGCCAGGAGCTGCCCATGAGGCTCCTTGGCTGCTGCATGTGGGACTGTTGTTTACGCCCTATGGTGCTGATCCTGCAGGGAGAACCGTCTCCATGAGCGGCTCTCCCTGAAGGATCAGCACCACTGGGCGTAAACAGCCCAGCTTCAGGGGCCAGCTGAGACCAGAAGCCATGCCCATGAGCATGCTGAAGCAACTGGCCTTGTGGTGACCTTCCCTGGTGTCAGTCTTGCATCCGCTCCTGCCTCCAGGACCGAGTGGGGGGCCCAGGGGCCCTGGCTGCCACCCTAGTCTGACCACTCTGTAGTGCATGCTCCCAACAATAAAGCTCTAGCTCAGTGCTCCTGGGCTGTGTGTGTGCCTGCTGTGGACTGTGGCTGGGGGGCTTGCAAGGGTGGCTCAGGTACTGGGCACCCAGGGATAATCCGCCCCCTGTGGCTAAAACATTTGGCCCACAATGACATTCAAGCAGTGGGGAAGAGGGGGATGGCAGGTAAGGGGTCCCTCCTGGATGGCATGGCATCTAGCCAGCACCTGCCCCAGCATGGTGTTGTTGTTAAGGGCGGCATGCAGTCATCTGGAGAGTTGGGTGTGATTCCCCACTCCCTCTCCACAGGAAGGCTGCTGAGTGACCTGGCCCAGTCACAGTTCTGTCAGAACTCTCTCAGCCCGACTTACTTCTCCTGTTGGGGGGAGAGGAAAGGAGGGAGATCAGAAGCCCCTTTGAGGCTCCTGTCGGTTGAGTAAAGCAGAGCACTAAAGCTGACAAACAGAGCAGAAGCCGTAGATGGAGCATTGGGGGGGCTGCCCTGGGGACCGCAGTGGTCAGAGACAGGGTGCCCATAGCAGGCACAGGTGTCCACCCTGATACCTCACCTCAGCTCTACAGCAGTGCCTAGGCCTGTATCCCAGGGATGAGCCCTGGTGCAAGCCGGGGGTCTGCCTCCAGGGGCTGACATGTCTTTGGGGCTGGACAGGAAGGCTGCTGTGCTGCAGAGTGTAGGTGGTCAGTTTCATTCAGTGGGCCCCTACAGAGGCTCGCTCTGGCCACTTGCCTGTCAGTGGCCCTGGGAAATTTGCCTATACTAATTTGGGACCCACATGGCACATAGTGGACTCACCCAGCCACAACCATTCTGGGGCATAGTGCCCACAGAGCTCTAGGAGCATCTGCCCACTGCCAGCAGGATGTACAGGGCTGCACTGCGGGGGGCTATGGTGATCTGCACACATGTGCAGTCCCTCCCACAAAGTCTGTTTTTTAATTCCCCATCGAGTTTACATAACTGTTCAAATTCAATCCATAATTACCCTATCTGGCGGAAATTCCTAGCTCTGTTGTCACTGTTGCTCCTTCCCCTGTTCAGAGGACCAAACCTCTGTCAAAACCAGACCAGCTCGCTTGGGTGGAGCACTGCACAAACCCACAGCCAGTGAGCCCTGAGGCTGGGAGCTGCTCATTCATGGCCTGGGAAGGCCGGGTGCTGGTCCCAGCCAGGGCAGGAGGATATCTGTCAGGAGCCACATGCCTAGCCACAGGGCTGCACGTAGACTCCTGCATCCCCTCCTGCCCTCTCCAGTACCATGGAGATGCTATCAAGAATGGGATGGTGCATTCCAAGGCCCCCACACATCTGATACATCCCCTCAGAAATTCTGGTCTTCAAGTGAGGTGGTGTGGTGGGCAGCAGGAGTGGATCGTGGCACCTTCTGGGCACCCACGGCAGGCCTATAGAGCACTGCCCATCACGGCCTCCCATGCCCCCCTCCACTCAAGTTCCCATCAGGGCTGTGGCCTTTGATGGCTGAGGCTCGCCTTGCAACCCCAGTGGCCTTGCGCTGGCAACCATGTCTGGGGGCTGCCCCCTGGCATGTGCCCCAGGCCAGTGGGTAGCAGGAGTGCAGGCAAGCACCCAGATGCAGCATGCTGGGGGGGGGGTCCCACCTTTGGGCCTGTCTTGCCCTCGTGCCAGAGGGTTGTGAGCATCTAGGTGGCAGTGCCACTCTCAAGATATT